TATATATACGAATTATTTTACTTTCAATGTAATATTAATGTCAACAATATGAAAATCTTAAAATTCGACCTCAAGAATAAGTCTACTTGCAGATAAAATTATTTAATCCAGTTTATCATTCCTCAAAAGGAACTGAAGCTTCATGGTGAGCTATATTTTACTACTATTTAGAAGCGGGAGTTAGCAGCTCTTCGTCGTCCTCTCAGGGGTATTTAAGAAATTTCGTTTAGAGATATTCTTACTTTGACCTGGAAAACTTGCGGTGCTCTGACAGTCATCTCTCTTGTGAACGGGTGGTTTACAGATACCTACTCTCCTGTTGCTTCCGCCAACGTCTTCCCCGTTAATCTGCAGCGTACCTATCTCGAAGCATGTTTGATGATTCCCCTCTTCTGTCGTTGTTGAAGCCAATGGATTTTGAGTCAAAGTTCTATAAAGTTACGCGTAGGTTAATTTTACACAGAGGCTATTTCGAAATCCCTAGGTAATCTTACTGACGCTCTATCTCTTCTCATTTTTCCCTTCTCTTGTCATTTTACCTTTAATGTGTCTATTTACGTCTGGTTAGTGGTTGGGCTTAAATTTGATCATTGGAAGGTTATGGTGTTATCGGTGGCTGAAAAGGGGAAATAGAGTGCTTCTTCCATGTTTGTTGGCTGAGTTTGGACCCTAAAAGAGACTAATAGGTAATGTAAATTTTGCTTCTGATTTTTCCTTGTATTTCTTTGTCAATTAGATAAAAATCAGACCGTTCAATTGCCCTCACAATTAACAGTATGAGGGTTTTCCTATTTAAAATAGATACTAAGATATAAGATGATGTAGAGGCATTCTTTTGCTTATCGTTGCACATTCTTGCTCTGCATAACTTTCTTTTGAAATAAAAGAAGTCACAATATTATTTACCCCATGTAAGCGATTGGTTTTCATATTGCTTCTCCTGAATGGACCCAAGTTATATTTTTTTGATAGGTCTAAGTGAGTCACAAGTTTATACTTATACAGGCACTCGTGATTGATTGTACATTGAATTTTGCTCTCTATCTTTGCTTCTTTTTCCTTTATTCTTCTTCTGTGTTTCTCTATTGGAGAATTCCTATTTCACAATCAATATGAACAGAGTCGTGTCTAAGAAGTATCTTACTTCTGCACCTAAGAGTTGCCTTGTTGCTCCCAACAAGGTTGAATCCAGTTCAGGTGTAAATGCATCTTTTGGTGTGTCATTGTGGGTTTTTTTGAAGTGTTTGTGCAGTATGTCATCTATTCTTCTTGTGTGTATCATCTTTCTATTTCAAATATCTTGTTTAAGATAAAATTGTTAAACTTCTTGCATTACTGATTTTTAATTGTGAAACTATGACTACTCAAAAGAAAATATCAGTCTTATAATATGCTTTGCTGTGGTGAAGTCAGTCTAATTGATTAACTACCTCTTCGGGAGCTGCATTCACTGGTGCAACAGCATTCAGGTATTTTGTTACATAATGAAAATAACAACTGAAAAATTGTGGGAACTAGGAAATTTTGCTGCATTGTAATTTTTGAGGTTTGAAAATTGTTTTTCACATTGAAAACATTAGATTTCTGTCTTCCTCCTTTATTAGCATCTCGGAGAGAAAGAAGAGGAAGAGAAGAGGAAGTACGATGAAAGAGTATGAAATAAGTTGCTCGTAGCGATTGCGATAGCTTATTTGGTACAATATTTGTGTCTTGAAACAAGATGTACATGACAGTTTTTAAAATGGGAATAGCTATTGGATTGTAATAGTAGCGTGCCCATGCTTTCTATATCTAAGCATAAAACATGCGCTGAAAAACGTTAAGAATTAGTTTACACCTAAATGCTCAAAATCTTATTGTTTTAGATACTAAAATCTACCAAGATCAAGTAAAACGGTGCAAGTAACAAATGAACCGAGTAAAGTAATAGAAATAACAGTAAATAGAAAACTCAGATATGGAGAGAAAGAAAGGGAGTCGTTTCATTATTGTTCTGCTGTCCAGTCCAAGATGCAAGGACCCAAAGTCAAGACCTAAAGGTTGTCACAATATGCTCTGCTCAGAGGCAACACATAGAAAGTTTTTTATTCTTTGATTTCTAAATTTCAGTTTCCAACATCATTAAGTTTGCCAAAAAGTAAGTCGACCGAGCTAATCGTATTGTGAACTAAATCATCAGAAAGGAGCATCCATGCATCTAGAAAGTGCCGAGTTTAATTTCTTGAAAACTTGAAAGTGCTTAGATAAGAGTCTGAGTTATAAGGAGCATCCATGAGAATGTTTATCATTTTATTTCAATAGTGAGTTGATTAACAACGTAATCCCTGTCATGACTCTCTTACTCTCACTCTGCATAATAGACTCTTATTAGACCAAACTTCATGATAGAATATTGGACTCTACTGTGTATGTGTTATTTTGGAATTTAGATGGAGCTTCAAGAATGAGAATTCTCTTCTTAGAGAAATGCATATCTTTTTTAGAGAATAAATTAAATGCTTCACTTTATTTTAGAAAAACTAATTATTTATCACCTATATTTCAATACAGCTAAAAATCTTACTCTTTTTAGGATACACAACCTATTGTGACTAAGAGATATGGAACTAATTTTTTGAGTTTCTTGTTTCTTAAGTGATTGAAGAGACAAATTTGATGTTATACCCGTTCAGATGACTAACATTTTACTTTGAACATGCTATTGTAAAAAAGTTGTTATTGTTAATGAGATTTCAAAGTTGGCTATAGCTTGAATAATCTGTAATCTGTGTTGAAAACCCCGAAAAAGGGCTAGATAGAGATAAACCAGAAACGAATATAGGAAAAAGAAGGAAACAACATTAGCAACTTCAGTTGCAAGAATAATAATCATATGGCATTTCACATATGATTGCTCACAGACAAGTTAAGATAATCTAAACTTCAAAGAAAACAGAGAAGGAGGGAGTTTGCAACTAAAGGCTAAAGATTTATAAAGTCGATCATCTAAATTTAAAGCATTCAAATGGAAACAAAGTATGTTTAATGAGGGGTGAGATGTATGCAAATAAAGAGGAAAATTTTGAAATTTTTTTAGAGCATTCAAATGGAAATAAATTATGTAGATTAAGGGCATAGTCCTCTGCATTTGTAGTAAAATAGTTCTCTGGTGGAGAAGCACCATGGTATCGTAAGCAAGCATATTGTATACTGTGGATGCATATATATGTCGGATGTCACACATGCATTGAATTTTCTTTTTTCCACAGAATCTGCTTATGCTTGAGGAATTCAACAGCAGTTGCAATTATAATGGTTTCCAGAGTTTTCTGCAAACAACTAGCGTATAGAAAAAATGACTAAATTGTAGTTATGTAACATGTAAGGTTACAAATGTAGAAGACACTTGGGATCTTGTGCAATATTAGAAACACATTCTTCATTTGTCCAATATTTTTAAAAAGTATAGTGATTCTCCTTGACACTGTTCACATACAAAGTGATTAAAAGTTTAACATAATCATGTTTCTTTGGATGTGGACTGAATTTTTTTGACAGACAGATGAAACCAGAAATACGAGAGGCAGAGTACTCTCAATGGATAAATCTAACCATGTCGATTTTGCATGTTTTCACATTGTGGTTCGACTCTTTCTCACTCTTTTGCATATGACTATGTTTTTGCTCTCTTATCTTGTTCTGTTATGTGGCTGCTATTCACAAGAGTTCATCACTGAAGCCTCATATTTCAGGGATGTGTAGCCCATCAGTGTAATTAAACTGACTGTGCACTAATTTATATACTCTGACAAATCCTCATTATTAACACAGTATTTTCGTTTGTTGAACTCTCTTCATCAGTCCTTTAATTCGCGGGGAAACAAAAGAGAAGAGACTCCCAAATTGGATTGCTCATATTTTGTGCCTGGGATTAATTGAAGTTGGCGTACTTTTTTGCTACTCATAGATGTCGTGTACCGAGCTAAAAGGTGATTCTTGAGCTGCTTCATACCACATTTGAACTCTACAGTTCGTCTAAAGTTCTTTCTTGAATGTTATTTGCTCACTTTCCTGTTTTCTCATTTCTTTGCTATAGTGCAGTGTACTCTCTTTACGGCTTTGACCTACCATTGTTTAGAAAAATCTTAATCTACCAATTGTGAAGCCATTTTTCATCGAAGTTGAAATAAATGACTTTATTTTATTAGATCACAACATCATTCTGTCATCTGCACTTAATAGGACAGAGATTTGATGTATAGCTGTTTTCTTTGTAATATTTTATTCTAATGCAGTTGTACTCTTGCTAACAGGAAGAAAAGAAGAAAAAGAAAAAGATTGTGTTGGAACATATACAAATAATATATCAGAATATTACATGATGGTTTGTATTACGGACATGTGCTAAGACTTATTCTACTTTTACATTTTTCAGAATAACTTGTTGTCTCGGTTATAAGGCAAAAAACTCTGCTTCTGCAGAGCACACAAATTTATCAGGGACCTAATACAGCTTGTAGAATAGCATTTCATTTCAATTTGACTTTTAATGCAACTTAAAAGTTAATCAACTGTGTTATTAGTTCTGCATCATTTTGAATCAGGTTGTATGGATTTTGTTCAGATTTGATTTACGGTATGTGAAGAAAAGTTCTTTACGTTGTTAAATAAAAAATTAATAAGGTCCTCGGGCCCGGGCTCAGCCGGGCCATCTCTAACTAGTATATTATTTATATATAGAAAAGAGAAGTTGGTCGACCAAGGACAAAATTGACATTTTACCTTGCCATTTTATTTTTCCCCTATTTCTATCTTTAACAGTGCTCACTATTTCGACACAAACAAACGATATGGGTCTAGAAACATCTCTCCTCTATTCCATCGAAACTTAGGTGAACTCTTTGAGTTCTCCTTCTTCAGAATTTGAAGAAAATCATTTCGGGTATGATTCTCTCACAGTTTTTGCTCCAATCTTTTTTTTTTTTTTCTGTCTTCTTCTTCTTCTTCTTCTTTTTGGAGATCTCTTAACAATTTCCTATTTCATGGGTGAATTTCCTTGGCTGTTATTATTCCATGGCGACATAACATTCTTTATTTTTGTAAGCAGTGATTGGTACTTTCACTATACTGTTTACGATGTATTGTAGTTAGTAAAGTTAACTCACTATAGAAGAATGTGAATTTAAAATGGATATCTTTTTTTGCTCAATTTTAATATGCCAAAGTTTAATTTATCCTTTGTTAATGAAAAAAAGTTATATTCTTTAGATTTATTTAATTAAATGGTCATCTAAGTTATGAAAATGATATAGTAATGCTACTTTTGTATTTTTTTTGATAGATTTATTTCTTATATTGCTTTTTGTTCACGAGAAGACATGCAGTAACATAGTTGTGAACTTGTGATCCTTTTATATGTCAATAACTTGCTGATCACACGGATGATGACAAGATGGTTGAAGAATCTAGGAGGTACTACACTAAAATTTCAAGATAAAAGATCTAGGAGAGTCGAAATTCTTCCTTCGAATTGAATTTGCCGGGTTATAATAACAAATCTGATGTATCAACACATGTATGCTATCATAAATCTTAAAGCTGAGATTAGAACAATGAGATTACAGATTAAATTGACGGTATCATACAAAACTAACAGGTAATCCTTTAGAGCTCAAGTTGAATTTCGCAAGTTCTAAACTTGACGAGCCTACAGGAAACAGTGTAAGGTTCTATAGAATGCTGGAGTTACCATAGATTGATTGGCATAATTGTTATAGTCATAGTGTATAATTGTGTTGTCGAGTATTAGATTGTTACACAGTGTATAATAATTGACATGAGGTTGTTTCTTTTGTTTATTTAAGTTGATAGATGTAGTAGTGCGGGACATATATTTGTTTTTCCCATTTTTTTTCTGCAGCTTTTTCCAAAGAGCTAAAATACATAACTTGTCAGAAATATAGAAGCTTCCATTCTTGAGAAGTTACAAATGAATATGGAACGAGACCACAAACTCTGAACATTTTCCCATCTCAGCCCGTGCATATCAACAGTTAATGTTGGCTTAAACTTGCTACTCTCGGAACACGTTATGACTTCGCCAAATAGCTGCATCGTGGTTTTCTTTTCTTTTTTTTTTTTGCTACGCTAATTGTTATACTCCGTCCACCACATTCGTCTCTTGCATTCTATTATATACATAGTTGAGATCAGTGGGATAGAGATGCTTCCTGAATGGTTCAAAGAAGTCCAACTTGAGAGACACTCTGATACACTAATTGCAAGCAATAAGAAACAACATGGACATTATAATGCAATTTTTTGTCAACTCAGTGATGCTGGCTTGACATATTATGATATCTTATTCATGAATAATTTCACAATGAAAAAGTTACATGACTTGATATATGCTAAATGCTGAATATAGTGATCCCTGCCGGCTGCCGCTAATAAAGTATGACTTTTCATGGTTGTCTGTCTTCAAAATAAGAGTCCAACAGTAGGGCGCTTTAATGTTATTGGCTAATGTAGCATCTGGATATATGTATGTATCTGGAAATAATGATGATTGCATATTAAGATTATTTTGATAAATTATTGACTTCACTTAAAGATTCTTGAAGCTCAAAGCAAAAAGAACTCATCACTTTTTTGACTTACCGAATTAGAATATCTTTGACTTAGATTCTTATGATAGACTTGGAAACTTTGCTTTATGACGCAAGATCTGTCGTCATAAAAACTTGAAGATGTGTCTTCCACTTATGTAATTTTTGTACTTTTTGTATATTTATTTGGTTATTAATCTTTTTCAATAAAATTCAATTTATTTGATATATTTTGGAACATATCAGTAGAGCCTCTAATTTGCATTTTCACTTTCTTTTTTACAGTAACGTTTATGATGCTTCTTAAATGGATTTTCTTTCAATACTTGTACAAAATCTCTTCTTCGTGGAAATTATAAGCTATTTCCCAATAAAGGATAAGTATTAGTTTCTAACATTCAAACTTTTTCAAGATTTTTATGTTACTATATTGTTGATATGCAGGACTTTGAATGAGTATACATGTGATGGTACAAAATACTAAAGGGGATTAGCTTTTATGAAAATGAAAGATTTTCGACTTCGATGCTAATCGATTCAAAGGACCAATTCCTCCCAAGCTTGGCAATTCTCCAACCATTGTAGAAATATTATGCATTTTAAGTGTCTCTTACTGTTATTGTCATTGTATGTGGATGTCCCTTTATAGTCTCAGCTAAATATGGTTTGTCATTGTTCACTGATTCAGATTGATTCCCTAAGTTCAAGCGTATGTGACGTAGCTTGATTTTTAACTTTTATGATTGGGAAGTAAAATGCTTTATTCTTTGTTTTCCTAAGTGTTAGACTTCTTAAAATTTTGCGTGGTTTCTATGACTGCGTAGCAAAATGCTTCATTTCTTTGTTGTTCCCCAAGCATTACACTGCTTCAGTTTTTGCTCTTAAAGTTTGAGACGTTTGATTTACATGGCCTGCATTAGGCTTTTTAAGTTTTTGTATTTTATGTTTGAGACTTTTTATTTTTAAGAACTTAAAAATATACATTACCTTGTAAATAAATGATGTTTGATACTTTTGAAGTTATTTTACAGCCCAAATCTAAGGTTCATGCTTAGTTGTCACCTCGGGTTACGTTTACTTGACTTCCCTGTTATGGGACTATACTGGTTGAAAGCAATGGCCTGTGATATCAGATGCATTTACAAAATCAAAGCAATGGCCAGTGATATTAGAATATACATTTACAAAATCATCAATATTCTGAATGATATGTATTAGTACTTAAACCAAATCAAGGATTTAGAAAAAGAGTGCTACCTAAAAGTATGAAATGTTGGGCCCGTGCTTTGCACGGGCAAAAGCTATCTAGTGATGTAAAGAATACGCTCGAACTTTTTATTAACTATTGTAATTTAATGAACTATTGTAAAGGATGGCTAATTTTTGTTGATTTGATGAACTAGCATAAATGATAAATTATAACGGTAAACTGTATGTTTACTCTACGTCATACTGTTTACCTTGAAAATACGAGTAACAATTAAATTTAATTTGTGGTTTTAAAGATATGTGATTTAGTTCAATACCAATTAATAATCAAGAAATATGAAGTAGAAATGAAAGAAATAAGTGAACCAAACCAATGTTACTCAGCAGTGGTGACCTCGAGCTTAGTAACCTCGAGATGGACTAAGAGCAATAAAGTAAGAACAATAAATATAAAGGATAATTTTGATGAATAGTAAGAGAGAAAAATAGGATAGTATATTCTTTGTCAATGATTAGATGATCTTTACAAATGATTGGAGTCCCCTTTATATAATAGGGGAACCTTAAATAACGTACATTTCTATTTACAGTAAAGAATCTTATTGGGACAGCTATCTAACCGCCTAGTACGGATTCGTACAAATTTGTCCCGGGATTTACGCCATCATTTAGGGGACATGGCAGGAATTTCGCTCATTCTGTTACAAACTCGTAACAGCATTATCTCGAGGCCGGTCACGTTTGGCCCCAATGTTCATCGGACACTTTGATCTTCGAAGTCTCCCATCAGGCTTGCTCCTGGTGTATTTCGATCTCTCTCTCGAAGTGACCCTCGAGTTCACGAAATCGGGTAGCCTTGATTTCTACCATATACAGATAGTCCCCGCGTTTCTTAGAGTATAACGACAAGAAACGAATTGAGTCATTGATTTTTACCCCAATTTGCCACGACATCATTATCATGACGCAAATGACTGAGGAAACGAAAGCTTGGAAGCTGTCTTTTCCTGAGGAAAACTCCGAGAACCTTTAGCGAGTCCGGCGGCGGGGAAGATTCTGAGGGCGAAGACACTTTTGTCAATAATGACCGTGCTGCTTAGGTTTCGTGCTCTTAGTAACTTTTTGCTTTTGAGGTTGATCGGCCCTTGCGAGGAACTCTCGATCGTGACCTACAACTTTTTGTAAATTATACAAAGCCCATTTTTCCTTCCATTTGCTTCTAAATCTGTTACCTTTTTGCGCAGGTCAAAGCGCCTTAACATGAAATTCCTTTTGAATGTTTAAAGTTTGAGATGGTAATTACCAAATATAATTTCTGCCCTCGAACATTTCTGATTAATGGTCCCGGAATGACCTTTCGAACATGAATTTAAGTAGCTCTTAGGCTCAACAATCGATGAGGTAAGGTAGCCCTTGGGCTTGATAGTTGAACGAGTGCACGCTCGAACTTGAAATGAAAATAGCCCTTAGGCCTTATGGCCAAGTGAGGATTTTCTCGAACTCGAAGTAAAGTTAGTCCATAGGCTTTATAGATAGTCCTCGAGTGAGGGTTTGCTCGAACTCGGGTTAAGATAGCCCTTGGGCTTTTATGATCGAGTGAGGACTTGCTCGAACTCGAAATAGAGTTAGCCCTTAGGCTTTATATATAGTCCCCGAGTGATAATTTTCTCAAACTCGGGTAGCCCTTGGGCTTAGTAGTCGAGTGAGTACTTGCTTGAACTCAAAATAGCCCTTAGGCTCTATAGTCAGGTGAGGATTTGCTCGAACTCGAAGTAAAGTTAGCCCTTAGGTTTTTTTATATTGGCCCTTAGGCTCTTTTAGATCGGCCCTTAGGCTCTTTAAGTTGGCCAATTCGGCCTCTAAGACGGCTATAATTCTTTTCTCTTTTCGGCTAAAAGACTTAGTGAAAATTTCTTTATGCCTTAGCATGTGTTTTTTGTACCCGTTGGGTTTTTCAAGGGTTCAATCGATCAGAACCCATTCGTGTTAATGCCTCTTGAGGCTTTTTCGAAGGCTGATGTTATCGAAGACTTTAAATTATTCGAGGGCTGATTTTATCGAAGCCCTTTTTGCTTTTGCCAAGGGTAGCCGAGTTTAACCCGTTTTTCAAAGTATTTGAAGGCCTTTAATTTATGGCGGAAGTCGGACGTCTCCGAGCCGCATTATTTCGGCCGTAGCCTTTTACGTGATCGTAGTCTTTAACATGGTCATAACCTTTTAATATGGTTGTAGCCTTCGGGTATGTCTCTTGGACTTGTTTCCCGATAGCCTCTCAAACTTGTCCGAAAGGTTAGTCCCCGATTATGATGGCCTTGGCCTGTATATGGGGGGGGGGTGCCTCTTTGAGGTCTTATGATTTCGAACTTGGATAGCTCAAGTAGGCAGTCCCCGAGTGTTCGAGATATGCTCGCACATGGATTAAGATAGCCCTTGGGCTTTTATTATAGAGTGACGGTTTGCTCAAACTCGAAGTAAAGTTAGCCCTTAGGCTTCGTAGATAGTCCCTGAATGAGAGTTTGCTTGAACTCGGGTTAAGATAGCCCTTGGACTTTTGTATTTGTTACAGATTTTGGACGCCCCCGATCTGCGTTAACTTGGCCGTAGCCTTTTTAGTTCGGAACTTGCCCTTATGGCTTATCTTCCATTTCACTTCAAGCTTGACCGAAGAGTTAGTCCCCGAGTGGGGTGGTCGTGGCCCGTAAAATCGAGGATTGCCTTTAAGGTCTTATGATCTCGAAATGTTAGCAATTTGAACTTCCGTTGTGATCGGCCCTTAAGCCTATTTACACAATAAATCAAGAGTATGAAATAGAAAATTTTTCTAGAAGCATGAGATATCGGCAAGGAAAAATACTTCTCTGAATAGATGATTATACATGCGCGCTTGTTTGATGTTAGGGCTCGAGTAACCTATATGGGCATGGATCATCTAACCTTTTGACCCTTACAACATTTTCCTATCAAGGCCCCGTTGTCATGAAGTAATTTGCTTGCAACAAAGCATACATTCGAGGGTAATGCCTCCCAGATCTCGAGGCTTATCTCAGGGAACCTCAGATACCGTTGAACTACCCTAAGTCAACACGAATAATGGTTACCTTGTTAAAAACCTTGTTGGAAAAATCCATTTGGGTTTTGACCGCTGTCCAAGGAAAAAATAATACAACGCGTGCTTTAAGATTCAAAGCTTCGTGTCGATCTTTGTCGGTAGCCTGCAAGTGTTAGTTGAAAAAATAGAGAGAATTGGAATGGGGTCGTAGCTTTATTCGCAGTTTGGATATTTAATGTGATCTTCCTCGGCATCAGGCCCTCGTGAATGTTGACCTCGACCATTTCTCCTCTTATTTTGTGCGAAGCTTCGCCCAGGCCTGTTGCCTCTATGGTCTCCGTTTTATGGTTGATATCGATCTCTATTCGACCTCGGCCCTTGATCCTACCCATGGGC